CCACTAAGGGGAAAAGCTGGATCGTCTCTTGATTTCCTTTTAGCTAAAAAAGATGAAGTGTGCTGCTGTGTGTTTTATTCCAGACAACACAGACCCAGATGACTTCATAACCAGACCCACCCCTGGTCCCAGAACAAAGTCTGAAGAATTGCACATTATTCAGGTTTAGATACCTCTTCATTGTACCAGTAACCGTATTAATCTTATATGTTGCATTCCATGTGTGAGGCACTATTTCCAAAATGTATCACTATGGCTATTAGTGACAAAATTCCCTACACCTCCATCTTATCTTTTGTCCCATTATAAAGTTTATAATCCACATGGTGAAGATTCTGAAGAAGACACTCATGATTACTAACCCAGAAACCCTTCTTCATACGACGTTTAAGCATACACTGAGAGGTGTGACACTTTCTTTTATTGTTAGGTTTGTTTTCAAAAGGTGGATTTTATCTTAGGGAGAAGTAAGGCTTGTTTGATTGTGTCCATCATACAGTGGGAAAAAAAAGATCAATTCATATTATTTATTCCAACTTGACAACAACAGCTAAATATAAAAACATGTACAGCCAAAACTGTCTATTTTTAACACAGTTTGAAACTAATTAAAATCTTTATTTGTTAAACACAAAAGCGGTGCATTTTATTGGTTTTCAGGCTTGCTAAAACTAGCTTTGTATAGAACATGCATACAATCTGAAACCTTGAATTAGTGATTCTACATTGATTAAAGAAAACTGTGATAATCGTCTGTGAAACATTTGAAACGCTTCATGTTTATTATACAGTAATAAGATTCAGTCTTAGCTAAAGCTTCACTTGTGACATGTTTCTTTCTCCAGTTTAACAAACAGTCATCCACTAAAACAAGTGTCAAGTCTTCCAAAGTAAAAAAAAACAGACTTTTTAAAATTTTTTACAACTATGGCTTTTTAAGAAATCATTAATTACTATAATAATTACTAAATTTTGTTTTAAATTAATAATCTTGGAGCAAAGTTGTTTCAGTATCCCTTATGGTGGTCCTTGCCATGACTTCAGATGAGCTGTCAATTTGAAAGACAGGAAGATGTTTTATTCAAATCATATACACCATTGATCAATAATGTTGAAAATAAAATTCAATACTTTACCCTTTTCATGAGATTTCCTAATCTGAGTCATTCTTAAGCTTATTGTAGATTGTCTTTACCACTGCGAACTCTGCTGAAACATCTAACAAAGCAGGTTTTGATTAAATGTAACATCAAATATTTACAGAATGTCTTTCAGGACACATTTCAAAGACAAATAAGTCTTGATTTACCTGGAATCGAATGACCGTCTGATCTGAGGGAGAGGTCAATGGAGTTGTTCAATGTGTCGTCCATTGTTTTCAAAATTTCCACCTAATTTAACATTAAAATCTTTATTTTTAGGTAGAAATCTAAAGCTGGATTAAAGACAAACTAATTTACACATGCAGCACCCTCTGCAATTACTCATATATGTATGAGTAATTGCAGGGGGAAATCAATAGATTTCCTTTTTAGATTCTTTTTGCTAAAGAATCTAAAAGAATAAAAAAAAAATTAGATTCTTCTAAAGAATATAAAA